CAAGAAACTTGCCTTCTCATTCTGTACTCGAGCAGGACAGCTTTAGTTTTGTAATTTTTTTGCCCTTACCGATGCTTCCAGCTTAATTTGCTCTAGAAACTACTTGTTACTCTTTCCGGTGGTCCAGGGTATCTGTAGAGCTCTCCTCAATACCATATAACATATACTGAATAAATCCATTTTTTTCTTACCAGTCTTCTTTGTCGTTCAACTTTTGCATCTATACATAGTAATTGGGAATTCGAGGGTGTAAAAGGTTTTAGCCTTGGTCTCTAATGACACATCTTTGTTCTTAATGATATCTCCTAATTCTTCCATTGTCGCTCTTCTGAGTCTCAGCCTTCTCTTGATTACATGGTTGCAGTCTCCATTTGAATTGATGAGTGAACTAAAGTAAGCAAACTCTAAAAATTTCAGCGCCTTCATTGTATATTTTAAAGTATATTTCTTCCGTAGTCATGATTTTTGTCTTCTTGATGTTCAAATGCAGCCCTGCTTTGACACTTTCTTCTTTTACTTTCATTAGTTGTTCACATATGGGTCACAATTTCTTTATCAATAACATGGGTTCTAGATTTATAGTACATGAAAAACAGTTCACAGCTGGTTCTACAAACCTCCATAAATTGGGCAAAATTTTCTGAGGACATAAACCTCTTAAAATTTGGCAAAACTATCAATTTTCTGAGGACATGGACATATTTTTTTTAAAAAATATTTAGGCCACATATTTAAAATGAGATTTTCTTATTATAAGTAAAAGCAAAACACATAACTTAGATGTTGACACAAGCTCTGTATTTGTCAAATATTTCTATGGAACAAAACAGAAATAAATTCATTAGATGACAAAATAAAGTTTCAAATATATATTTAATGTAATAATGAACAGAACTAAAGATGAAATTAAGTATAAATATATATAAAACTCAGCATACATACATAAAAATTCATGAAATTACGTAATTATGGGATATAAATTCATCTTTCAATATAAGAGAGTTAAAAATAAAAGATAACGACATAATAAATGAGGCATGTCTTAAGGATATATGTTGGATGCTGAACACTTACAATAAAAAATACACTTTCTTTCCAAATATTAATGAAACATCAGAAAACTGGAAAATTTTAAGGTATAAAACCTCAATAATCATAAGTATATAAATGTGGATTTTTTCAAATATACAGTTAATATAGACAATAGTCTGATTACAAAATCTATACCTCCCAAATTTGTACTGAAAAATTTACAAGGCAAATCTACCGAACCTTCAAAACTCGGAAAATCTAATGTTACTTAAATTGTTTGTAAAGTAAAGAAAAAGAAACGGAAGTTCCAAAAACATTTTATTACGTCAGTATGAGAGAGACACTAAGACTTCATAAGCATGGGGCAGAAGAATGCTAAAGATCGATTTTGCTATGACAGTATAATAACTTTAAAAAGAATGCTAATAAACAGATAAAGAATACTATATCTTGAATAAAATTAATTTATTCTAGAAATATATGGTTAAGAAAGATATTCTATTATACTCATCTTATAAATATAACAATTCAACGTGTATGCATATTTTACATAGTTACTATTTCAAGGGGAAAATACAAGTTACACAGTAAATTTTATAATGTGCATTATTTATGGAAGGGGTGAATAAGAACACATATATTTTGTAGTAAAATACTGGGATGACACACAAGGAATAATAAAATTGGTTACATAGGGAGGAGAGAATAAGATAGAGATGAAAAAGGATGGGATCAAGGCTTTCTAATGTATACTGTTGTGTATTCTAACATTTGGACCAACCGAATGAACCATCTATAAATTTAAATTTAAATTAAATGATTTCTTGAAAATTTTTAAATTAAATATCTTTCTTATTTGGTTCCTTGCTGAATTTTAGCCTATCATTATTAATCTGAACATACTGAAAACGACATATACTAATATCTAAGAATTGTAAAATAACTCAAATACTGATATTAGATTTCTTGTGCATTTTCTAATTTCAAAAAAGAGTAGCTTTTAAAATATTTTCCTGAAAATGCATTTATTTCATTATATATTTCATAATAATTAATTAATTTTATTTACTTATTTACTTAGTTATTTATTTACTTATATTTTGATATGTGTGCAGATAGAGAGAAGGAAGATTTGAGCCCTTTCCAGGAAAGCGACCTCTTCATCCATTCTGCTGGAGAAGCTCTGGATGAAGGTGTATACGAACACACAAACATAATATCTTCAGATTTTTCTACTTCCAAAACTGCTGGCAGCAGAGGTGCAGGTGAAACTATATGCTAATGGACATGTAGGAAGCAATGCCCTTCTCATAAGGAATTCTCTTGTGTATGTTTAGAGCAAGCTACCCTAAGGGCTTCTCTCCCTAAAAGTTAGATATGGCGGTATGGGGCTATGCACACATTAGCCAAAAACTTGACCTGGCCCACAGATGAAGAACCTGTGGAGGTGAGAGAAAAGACAGTGTTTTAATGTGAGTGAGGTTTAGAAAAATGGATAATTCATTTTAATTGCATAAGAAACAATCTTTCTTGAGTAGAGATATGGGTCCTTTTGCAAACCTGTGCTAGAAAAATCTTTTCTACTACTGCTTTTCTAAATGCCCTACCATTTCCATAATAATTGCTCATCAGTGTGTTTAGTCGTACTACCTGAGCCATTTGCTGCTTATACAGAGGCTCAGCAATTCTCAGCATACCCTCCATACATTTATTGAAAGTTCACCCTAGTCCTGATGATGCCACCTGAAGAGTCTTTTTTTAAGTTTATATTAAAAATGTATTCGATTTGTTTAAACTAAAAAATATATAATGTATATAATATACTATATTTTAAAATTATTTTATTTATTTCATAATTTAAAATTCTAAAATGATACATCATATGTTACCACATCAAATGTGTCTCCCAATAAGAATTTAAAATAATTAATTGAATTTTCAGACCACATCTGTTTAGTAGATTGAAATTAGTTTCCTTTCATTGATAAGGGCATGCATTTTTTAATGTTTCTTCAGGCCAAGTGAATTACTAAATATTACTTTAAAATGGCAGTTTATATTGCCTTAGTAAGCTATAAACTGACAGTATGATCAAGCTCATTAAATTACAGTTGTTTCTGAGATGATATTCAATTATTTAAAATGAACAATTCTTTGCAACTTAAGTTACTAATGAAAACTTTTGCTTTAACCTAAAATGCTTGGGAAAATAAAGCTTAATCGATTCTTCACATTTTCTGCACATGTATCTAAACTTTTGAGAATGAAGTCATACAATGTCAATATAATAGTTATATCATGTTGAGAAAAAATTTTAGATAAACTGATAGAAATTAGAGATTACAATTGATAGCCATCAAACTTTTGGAAAATAATTATATTCCAATTTTAGAACTATATAATGATATATACAAAGGAAGAGAGCAATTGTTATTTGCTGATACTATAAAAATTTATATAACAATATTCAAATCTCTCCATCCAGTTTTGAGTATAAAGCATATAATTTCCTTCTACATATAGAATTCAGAGTATACAGTAATGGTATGTTTGTTTTCTAAGAAAAAGTAAACAATCTTAGTTCAACAAAGATGAGAATTGGAGTAACATCTGAAGATTGAAAAGTGCATGTTAAAAGCCAAAGATTAGAATGTAAAAAATCTAAATATTTCACTAAGACCAAATGTACTGAGAATCAAGTTTGCAAAAGATAATATGTTTAACAGTTGATATAAAAAATGATGATATTATTGAAAATATAGATGATGGAACAGTACAGTTAAGGAAGGCTAAGAATGCCAACTTTGTTTGCTATTAAAATGGAGAATCAATGTCAGCAATATAAATTGATATATGTATTTAAAAGATTATTACCTTAAAGATGTTAGTGTTTTACATGACATTTTACTTATTTTTTAGGGATTGATATATGAATTGAAATTAATCTATAAATTCAAGAAAATCCCAAGCAAAACACCAGCAGAGAGATGAGTGTGTGTGTGTATTTTAATGTGTGTGTTTGTGCACATGAAAAAAAATAATATGGAAAGAAACACAAAGATAGATGATTGCTCTAGCAAATATCGTTACCTGGAAGTAAACCTATAGCTGTTAATTTTGTGTAGTATTGCTACAGGATATACACAAAGAACCAAAAAAGATATGTTGCTTCTTCTAGACACTAGCCTTTGATGTGTGAGAAGGTGTTTTGCAACAGCTTAAGTCATTTTGACACCATGAGACAAAATGGTAGAGCAATCAATTCTCAAAAATTTTAGTATTATAAAACCTTCATCCAATGAAAAGCTGTTAAAAACTCCAAAAAATGTATACTATATGTCTCAAATATATTAATACTTTATATTTAAGGATGAGCAATATTTTAAATATTTATTATTAGTTCATTTTAAATAGCAATAATAAATTGATTATGTAGTAATATAGATTATTTTTATGAATAATAACATCACAATTTAATGAGAGGTAGCATTGTTTTACATTTTGCAAATCTCTTTAAGTCCTGGTGTGTGGAAATAAAAAAAAAAATCATGTCAACAAAAATACATTTTCATACCAATATAGGAGAGATTAAAAAAAAAAAAAAAAACACCGGAGTTGATGATATTTAGATGAGATTGTAATTATAGAGTTCATGTAAGAATGGGTTAAAGCTTATGGGGATGTTGGAATAAGGTAAATATATTCTGCATGTAAGACAGACATGGATTTTGGAGTCTAGAGAGCAAACTGTACTGGGTTAAATAGTCTCCCTCCAAAATTCATGTCCACACAGAACTTCAGAATATGACCTTATTTAGAAATAGGAGGATTGTGGATATGATTAGTTAAGATGAGGTCATACTGGGTTTGAAAAGAATTGAAATCCTAGGGTTGGTGTCCTTACAAGATGGTAATGTGAAGACAGAGACACACAGAGAAGAGAGAAGGCCATGAAAATAGAGACTTACATGATGCAGTTACAAACAAAGGAAAGTCCAAAATTGCGGGTAATCACCAGGAGCTAGGAGGAAGCAAGAAAAAACTTTAAGAGATTTCAAAATGAGCATGGATCTCCTGATACCTAGATTTTTGACTTCCAGCTTTCAGAAATGTGATAAAATAAAATTCACTCTTTTAAGCCACTTAGTTTGTTATACTTTGTTATAGAAGCCCTAGGAAACTAATACACTGAACTTAGTTCTTAGTTTTACTATATTCCTAAGAAAATACACTTAGAAAACAGGGAATGGGAAAGTGGTCTCTGCCTTAGTAAATGGAGAAAATAATTTTCATCTACTCTTAGTTTAAAAATATTTGAGGATTCCGAAAGGTTTTGGTTTATGTGGGTTTATATATATTGTTATGTATTATGTTAGTAATTTAAATAGAAAATTTGTAAACATTTATTTATAATGTATTTAAACACATTAAAAATAGATACTAATAGAAAAGATGTTTTATGCACAATTTTATATATTACTTAAATATGTAAATATAAATGCTAATGATGGTAATAGTTTTGTATAATGAGTATCAGACAACCAGATAGCCAAAAAATTAGTAATTATTGAATACTTAGACCAAGTTTATAATAGATAGACTTGATGTGTAGCTTAACAACAACAACAAAAAATACAATTCATGGATTATATTTAGTAAATATCCTTATCTCTGTAAATCCACTGGATTACTACTATTAAATGGGCTCTCAGTTGCTATTTTTCACTGTGATTCTTAAAATAACATAAATTAAAATTTTTAAAAATATTTTTAATTATTTATTTTTTATGGTGACATTGGTTAATGAAATCCAATAAGATTCAGCTGTACACTTTAACAATAAGGCGTATGTATATTTACACTGTGTGTTTACCTCCCATAGTTAGATTTCTTTCTGCCACCACATATTTGACCCCCTTTATGGGGAGGTAAATGGGGTAAATTGAATTTTTTTGCATCTGAGATATTTATAGTGGATAAGTAAATGAAATGAGCAAGGTTTATTGCATTTATTGGGCACTTACTGTGTGGTATGCATGGCACTTAGTGTTATATTCTTATAAAAACACAAAAAGTAAATTATTATCTCCATTTTACTGATTTGAAATTCAACCTTAGAGTAGTTTATTAATGATTTCAAGTTCATCAAGTAAGAGTAAATGGAGGATCTTAGTCTTTCCAAATTTATATATAGATACTCTTTGATTTACATTGGGGTTATGTCCTGATATATCCGTTGTAAGCTGAACATATCACAAGTCAAAAATGCATTTAAGACACTTAACCTACAGAACATCATAGTTTAGCCTGGTTTATCTTGAATGTGCTTAGAACACATACATTAGCCTATCGTTGGGCAAAATCATTTAACAGAAAGTCTATTTTATAAAGTGTTAAATATCTCAAGTAATTTATTATGCATAGTACTTTTGCATTACCATACAGTTGAAAAATTACGAGTTGAACGTCGTAAGTCAGACATCATCTCTAGTTTTTCTCCACTATAATTATGACATGCTGTATCCATGTAGAATCTCGAATTTCTGTTCCAGCCCTTCAGTTCTATGCTTATATTAAGTTGGGCTTGCTAATCAAATGCACTGAACCTCATTTTAGATTGATGAAACTGAGGTGGATTTTATTGGCTACATGTTTCTCTACAACACAATTTGAGTTGAGCCATGTACTTTTTATCCTACTCCATGTCTAATTCAGAAAAATAAACAACTAAGGAAAACATTTGATAAAAATTTGGACCCAAAACAACATATTCTATATCTATCCTCTTACAAATACTTCCATTGCCATGGAAACCCGTATAACCACGGGGACAAAAGAAAGATTTAAACTGAAATCCAGTCAAGGTACTTGTTTTTTTTTTTCTTTTGATATTTAGAGATTAACACTTTATCACTACATTTGTCTTGGTGATTCAAAGATCACAAATTGACAATTGGTACACATCCCTAAGGAATATCACACCAAAGGATTATATTAAACAATAGCCAATTTCTAAAACAATTATTTAAAGTAATTAGAAAAAATAAAAGAAACCAAAAAAATTATATAAATGTGTGACTGCTTAAAGCAATCTACTGCTTTTATGTATAAAAGAGAAGGATTAAAATCCAAATGGTCTGCTTCTCCTTAATCATATCTAAGTTGATTTTATGTTACTACATCCAATCTTTGATTTCCTCATTATTCACGTTCTAAATAAAATTTTTTGTATCTATTTACCTTCTTGTATTTTCATCACTCATATAGAAAGAAAATAATTTGTGACTTGCCAAACTACAAGAGATCCTGAAAGAAGTGGTTACTAAATTTGCAAAAGGTCAGGTCCCTTGAATCTTAGGCCAGTACAATATTTCATAAGTTGTCTCTCAAATTTACTTACAACAGGTGAACATTAGATCCATTCTCTGAGATTAATTTGCTAAAAAATAATACTAGATCAACTCAGTTATCTCAGTTAATCTAGATTTTGTTCCTCTTCCCAGGAAGGCAGGCCAAATGATGGTGGATTATTGGAGCCAAACAGCACCAGTTTCACTACTCAGTCTTTTCATACACTAACAGATAGTGAAACCAAAGGTCCTGATTTGATGTATGTTTTTGATTTAATATGTAGCCCTTGCATTCTATTCAGTTTCTTCCCAGGATTCTCTGTAAGCTTAGCTCTTTCTCTTACTAGTCATTAACCCCCAGAGGCAGCCAGAAACAATGGCCATATCTTGACTAAGGGTCACAAGGTATGGGTTTCTATGAAGCTAAAGATAACAATTTGACCAATGTTATGTCTCCGTTCCTGGGCCCTAAGGTGGAATCAGTCCCTGGCTAATTTCCCCTGAGACAGGACAGAGGGACGCCAGAGCAGATCTCAGTTGTCCCAAAGACCTGAAAAAATGATTTATTTCTCTTACCATACTTCCGACCAATCAGCTCCCACACAATCCCGAAAACCGAACCCATGATATCTTGTGATTTTGCCCTACATAATCTGTAACCTCCATGTCATCCAGGAGTTTGGGCTTTTGAGTATTAGCTTCCCGTTCTTCTGGGTAATGCTTTTTATAATAAAAGAGCCAATCTTTCTCCACTGCACTTATTCCTTTGGCTCTGCTAGCTGTGGGTGGATGAATTATTTCTCTTCAATAATGCTAGAATTATACAAGTAAAATTAAGAGATTGAATTTACTGGTGAAATGTAATAAAATACAAAATCTTCTTCCAATCCAGAAATCCACTCCACAAGAGTAGTAGAGAAAGACAATACTTTTATCATTGAATAGACATTAAACAAGAATGTGATGTACATCACAGGCAATTTGCTAAGACTGCAAAGACCTAAAAGAATTTCGCCCTTTTATATAGCCAAGCAGCTATTACATACATGTTCTCAAAATAAATAATAATCTGTCCTCAAGTCAGAAGACTTAACATCACCATTGGTCACACATAATTCATCCTATCTCTACCTGGTAATTTGGGTGACCATTTGTATTAGTTTAGTAGGAGAAAAAACTTCTCATAACTTTATGATAGGAGGTAGTTTTGCTGCCTGGAAGAAGGAGCCCACAGAAGTTAGGCTTCTTTCCTCTCACAGAAACTGGGAGATAGGACACAATCTCCCTTGATGTTTACATTTCAAAGGGATGGCTCCAAGATCCTTGAGAAAGAAATTTCTGAGTCCTAAAGCTGGCAAAAAGCCTATTGAGTTTTCAAAAGGATTCATATATGTATATGTATATGTATATGTATATGTATATGTATATGTATATGTATATGTATATGTATATGTATATACACGTTTCAAAGAGAGAAGTACTTAAAGGTGAATTTTTTAAGAAAAAGAAGGAAGGAAAATGTTTTCCCTTACTTTCAACAGGAAGAATTTAGCCTTTTATTTTTAATTTATTCTGGCTCTTACAGATTACATCATTTTTAAGAAATCTAATATTGTGTGTTTCTGCTATAGTTTTCCTTTATATGCCAGAAAAAAACTCATATTTAATTAGTTAATTTTATAGAAAAGGTACTCTGTTGTTTGAAAGCTATCATGTTAATCAATGCCTAGCAAAATATAAAGTGTGCACTGTTTAATTTGATTTTACTATCGCATAACAGGATAATGTAAACACATTGTTAAAGTTCTTTTACCAAAAACTTTCTTCCCAAATAATCATTACAAAACTCCTTTGATATGCACCTGTCCAATATAATCAAGAGAAACTATAATTTCTAGCAATTCAGATATATGTTATATAACATCAATAGAAACTGGTGATAGTTTTGATGTGACAGAGCAGAAACCTGGATTTCCCAAATAATTGTGACCTAGAAAGCTCAGTCTCTCTGTTTTTCTTTTTCCTTTGTACCAAAAACTTTAATAATAAAGCCTTCTACTTTGTTGTAGTCAGAATTACATAAGATGAGTACATATCTCTTGAGAGTTTACTATGTAACAGATGATGCCCTAAGTAAGAGCAGGTAACAAAAAAGTTAGGGATGCTCATACTACTATTAGATAGACAGAAAATACACTTATAAATAATTATATAAATAATATATTATATGGTGATAAATTATATAAAAAAAATCAGAGAAATGAGATCTTATAATAGAGAATGCTAATTTAGGTAATGGAGCTAGAAAATCCTTTTTGAGAAGATGGAATATAGAAGAGATCCAAATAAAGTGAAAAAATAAGCCATATGAATATATACATGATTGAAGGAATGAAGAAAAAGTGTAAAGGCATGAAAATAGGTATATTTGACATGTTATTGCAGTGCAGTTAAAGTAAGAAATGAAACTGGGGACTTAATTGCTGACTAGATTACACAATTTTTGTAGAAAATTTTATATAAAAATTCAATATTGTTCTAAGTGTGATGAGAAGTCGCTGAAGGATTTAGAACTTAGAATTTACATTATGTAACTAATATTTCGAAAGGATGACAAAATTTACCTTTTAAAAATTAGGCTAAAATTGGGCAGGGAAAACTAATTCAAACT